AAGAGGCGTAACAATTAGTTTTGTGTTATCGATAAAGGGGGTCTTTTAAACTGTAGGATATATATGTTTGCCGCGCCTCTGTGGGCGTAGATATGTCCGTAGCTTTTTATACTAAATCGAAGATATACACGAGTATATGTATATGTAAATGGTATGTATATGTATATGTATATGTATATGTATATGTATATGTATATGTATATGTATATGTATATGTATATGTATATGTATATGTATATGTATATGTATATGTATATGTATATGTATATGTATATGTATATGTATATGTATATGTATATGTATATGTATATGTATATGTATATGTATATGTATATATTTATATACATAAGTATAGCAGGGCATCAGCCCTGTACTCCATGCTGTATATCCACAGATAAACATACATATATGTATGTATATATCTATATATAGTAGTAGCTATAGTATGTAGAGTTAGTCTATACAGTTTGTAAGTCTTGCTAATACATTGCTCTATATTCTATATTGACATAGAGCACATACCCTGTAAATTAATTCTAGTTCTATCTCATCTATTCCTATTCTAAGTGTATAAGAAAAATGTTAAAATTATTATTTGAGAGTTTTTAGAGTAGAGTTAAACATAAACCAAATTATAGTCAAAACTATACCTGAAAACTCTATAATGAAGTTATAGATAGATTGTATAGAGTTGTTATTGGCGTCGCTATATGACTGATAAATATGCATTCAGCTCGATCCAATGTATTATCTCTGGGAAGAAGCTTTCGTTAATGAGGAGGAATATCTGCTCCACATCAATGAAAGCTTCTTCTGAGAGACCCTGTATACTCAACTAGACGTTACGTAATAGACTCTCTTACCATAAATTGGCTGCACAATACTCACTTGAGCTATGAAGTCAATTTTAGTCTACTTTAAGAAATACTAATCGTGCATTATTTATAACCAATCTAGACTCTATATATATAGCTATATTTGATTACATAATCTCATATTTCATTTCCTTTAAGATATGCTCGATCTTTCATATTCTCTATCCAATTTCTTTCATTCCAGTCAGCATTCAATGCTTCTCCACTGGAATACCCTATAAACTAAATGTGTATAAATACCGACCAAATTTATGCTCGATCGTAGGTGGCAACAGCTAGTCGATGCGCTTATCCATTCCCCCGAACTCGAAAGAAACGGGAAACGAAAAAGTTCTATTTGGAAATGTGATGAGAGAAGAAACCTCAAGAGTTACAAATTCGGTTTTGTTTTTGTGTATGGGGTCTATGATTTTGAAATGATAGACGAAGGTGTTGCAGCCCTGGTTTGTGTATGCTCTAGTTGAAAATATCGAAAAAGAAACAATGCAACAAAAAGTTTTTGTAGAAAAGGCCAAAATATAAGAACAATGTAAACAAAGCGCTCGCTCCGCTCATTTCAAATTACCCGATGATGAAGTCAATTGTTGTATACAATAAAATTTGGTTGTTGTTTTCCTGCTAGCAAGTTTTCGGTATTGGTTTGTACTCAAAAATACCCTGTAGATTCATTATTGGAACTATATATATAAATGGCTGTGATAATTGTAAGAAATCGTCTACTATATGAGGTAAGAGGTGTTAGGCTTGAGGGTTAAGTGCAGTAGGGTTTCTGGGTCTAGAGCAGAAAATATATAAATATATGATGATATATACAGTATTACAACTTTCGAATCAAGAATATTCCCATAGAAATGCAATCCAGTTTGATGAGTACTGGAAAACGGAAATACAAATGGATTAACCAAGGAACTCGCTAAGAATTAAAGGGGAAAAAATTTTCTTATGTTATTGAATAGGGCTAAAAGAAAGAGAAGTGAAAGTCGATAGTGTAAAATGTGAAATAGGTTTGAGGATTTATACATTAATAATATTATAATAGATTATTATATAAATAATCTTGATGTTCATTGTAGGAAATATCAACATAAAAAGATTTAATGGTGTTGGCTCAGAGAATTAAAAAAGCTAGAGTTCGATAATTAACTCTATGGAATCTCTAGCTCAGAGGAGCTCCACTGCATCAACACTTCAGGGCTACTACTCAACATATAATCTGACCCAAACAAAAGCTTATTTCGATATGCATAGGAGCCAAGCATGCACGCACGGTATTTAATGATCGTGTATGCCCCATGCAGCTCTCATGGAATACAATTCATTGTTGCTGCTGTCGTTGTTGTTGTTGTTGTTGTTGTTGTTATTGTTGTTGCTGTGTTTTGTTAATTTCTTTGCTGGATGCTTTGCTATTTGGGCTAGTGTCGATGTATAGAATTTAGTTTAGTACAAAAATCGGCGCAGGAACGATCGCGTCATAGTTTTAAACGCCGCATTCCTTGGCTGCAAACACCGTAGACAAACACCCGACGCAGACACAGACAGAGACACAGACACAGACACCGAACACTTAAGCATATGTATAGATATATACATATATGTATATAGAGTCATATATGTATATAATATACCCCGCTAAACCCGGTGGGACCCACAGTTAAGTTGGCTCCAGTCTACATAGCTTCACATGATTCACCAGCATTGGAATGGTCAGTCCGAGCTGCTCGGCAGCAGTCAGCCAATGGGATGGGGCTTGGCATTGGGATCGGGATCGGGTTCGGTATCGGTATCGAGATCGGGACTGGAACTGAGTCGTAAGGCGTTGCCAGGCAATCGATCGAGCGTGCTGGATAACGAGCTGTTCCAGGGCTACTCGGATGAGCTGCTGACCTTCGCCTGGATCGCCTGCATTGTGTTCATCATTGTGGGCGTGCCGGGCAATCTGCTGACCATTGTGGCCCTGTCGCGGGGCAGACAGACACGCAACTCGACGGCGATCTTCATCATCAATTTATCGTGCTCGGATCTGCTCTTTGGCTGCTTCAATCTGCCGCTGGCCGCATCCACGTTCAAGGAGCGCGCATGGACCCACAGCGACCTGCTCTGCCGCCTGTTCCCGATGCTGCGCTATGGCCTGCTGGCCGTCTCGCTGCTCTCCGTCTCGCTGATCACGATCAATCGGTATATTATCATCGCCCATCCGCGGCAGTATCCCCGGTAAGCCTATTCCATTCGACTAGATCACACCCACATCCAATCCATGCTAATTTGAATTTCATCCTCAGCATCTATCAGCGACGCTACCTGGCGCTGATGGTGGCGGGCACCTGGCTGGTGACGTTCTCGATCATGATACCGACGTGGCGCGGCGTCTGGGGCCGCTTCGGGCTGGACACGAGCATCGGCTCCTGCTCGATACTGCACGACAAGTACGATCGCTCGCCCAAGGAGTTCCTCTTCATAGCCGCCTTCATGCTGCCCTGCGTCTGCATTGTCATCTGCTATGCGCGCATCTTTGTGCTCGTTCGTCGGGCGGCGCGGCGGGCGGGCGCCAAGACCTCCGAGATGGCCAATACGCCGCCCATTCAAACACCCACCGTCGACAAGGCCAGGGACAATGCCAAGGACAAGCCTAAGGACAAGGAGAAGGACAAGGACAAGAACAAGGGCAAAGAACTGGACAAAGAGCGCAAACCCAGCGCGGACGACGACCCTGGCCAAGTGCATCCATTTGTGGTCAGCGAGTACCTGGCCTATATCGATGACAATGCCTCCTCGGAGAGTTTCCCCATCTCGTACAGCGTCAAGCAGGAGACGCCCATCGATGCCAACGTGGTGCTGCAGGAGAACAACCTAGCCAACAACAAGCCCGCCACGCCAGGATCAACTCCAGCTGCGGCCACACCAACTGGCGATACGAGCATCCATAGATCGCTGACACAGCTGGAGCAAAGCCGCAATTCGTGAGTAGCTAATGACAAATGCATAACATCTACTTTGAATTTACAACTGGCTTGTAAACTCCAATTTCAAAAGGGACGAGAATGATGTACATCACTATATCCATGTACTCAGATTGATTTTGTTCATTGTTGTACAATGAATATAGCATATATTTATACAGAATATCAAGTTGAACATTTACAATCTGGTTGTAAATTCCATTTGAGAGTCTTGCGAATTCGCTGTAGGAAAACAGGCATATCTATTAGTTAATATCAAGTTTATGCCAAACAAAAACTTAACATTTACTTACAACCAGGTTATACCTTTTAAGGATCTAAAACAAAGGAAAAGGAATCCCATTAGATATCACTTCGATCACGATCTAAAAGCAATGTTCAAAAACTAGTAGTACTTGTGATCTAAACGTTTTTAAAACGAGCATACAAAAGTTTGCCATGCCCCCATATGGGCGGATCATATCATTTATAAATCTAACTGTGGATACTCTTAGCTGGGTTATGCCTGATTTAGGCAAGTTTTACGACAGGATGTCTGCCTAGATTTTACCAAAGTATTAGATAACTTATATGACTGCTCTAGCTCCAATGAAAATAATATTTAATGTATGATAGATTAAATATACCTAATTTATCTATATTAAGCTATATAGAGAATTTTAAATGAGTGTAATTAGAGATTCTAAAGAAAGGCTGTTATAGAAAATAAGACTAAACACATTTTATAGATGTCATACATTAAATTGTATTGAAATCAGAGCTCTATAAGCAAAACAAAAGTAGATCATATAAATAAACATATATATTAATTACTAAATATTTCTTTTTCCTCTCTTCTCATTCCTCATCCTCGGTGGCCATCTGAATCGATAGAAAGAATCCCATCACCACCTCACTGCGCACCTCGTTTACGCGTTTCAGCCCACGCAAATCGCATTATGTGTCGATGGGGAATACTTCGAATGCCTCGTCCATCTATGCGGGTAGGATGAGTGTGAAGGATCGTCGATTGCTGAAGATGATATTGGTGATATTCGTGTGGTTCCTCATCTGCTATCTGCCCATAACGCTGTCCAAGATCAGCAAGAGTATCAACGATGTGCACATCTTCAACATTATGGGCTATCTGCTGATCTATCTGACCACCTGCATCAATCCGCTGATCTACGTGCTGATGAGCTCCGAGTATAGACGCGCCTACTGGAACCTGCTGCGCTGCCATCAGTCCGAGCAGCAGCAGCARCAGCAGCGGGCCCTCAAGAAGCACATCGAGTCGAATCGGGCGCTCAAAACGTGATCCGTATGGATCTGAAGTGGAGCCGCAGCCGAGTTCCGTCCCAATCCAATCGATGCCCATCGATGCAGCCTAGCGCCAATCGCCAGATAGAAAAGGTTTTCCGGTAAAGCTAAAGATATATATCAATAGCTCTACTATATGACCGGAAATAATGTAAGATCCGGGTACCTCTATATGGTATGCCTCCATAGTGACCATTTATCCACCAACATTTATAACAACAAATAATAAGAAAACGCGATTATCTAATGCAATGAATGTAAAGCCATATCTTTATCTGTCCGAAATATCCATTATATATATGTATATGTATGTAGTATTATATCTGAAATTGAATGATATACAGATGGATCATATATCACTAAACTCGATCGATTATTATTATCAGATTATGTTTGCATGATTTGAACTTGATTATATATGTACTATATTGCATTTCCGGTTCCAGTTCCCGTTCCCCCTCTCCCATTCCCGACTCCTGCCATCAAAACAAGAATCGATCAAGTCGGCGCGTGTAATCGATAAAAAGTGTATTGTATTTTATACCAAATGACTTTTTAATATCTGGTTGACATTTTTGAATTCCATGTTTAAGAACAATCGATGTTTTATTTATTTGCTTGCCGCTAATTATTGTACCAATTCATATATATATAGATATACGTAACTATAGACATATACATATATGTATATATGATATATATCTATATATATATCTTGGCAAATATATATATATATATATATTTATATTATGTATATCCTATGTCATCAATAAATGCTTCGAATAATTGATATATGTAGTTTTACGTTGTTTTTCTTTCCTTATCTTGAGAATTTCGAATAGAGTTCCAGATAATACCAGAATATGTGGTGTAGCTTAATACATAATTATTATCAATATACATATTGTATATGCCAGAGTGTGTGTGTGTGTGTGAGTGTGTTGATGTGTGTGTGTATGAAACATGGACTACTTAATGCTAGTAACACAACTAAATGATCCAATATTCTGGTAATACTTATCGCCGCTCTATAACGCTAACGATAAATCGTTTCGAAATTTCAACTGCCAAATGGAACTCACGGATCGAGTCTGATACCTCCTCTGACTCTCACTCTCTCTCTCTCTCTCTCTCTCTCTGTCTCCCCTTCTCCACTCTCTCTCTCTCTTTCTCTCTCACTTGCTGTCTAACGGTAATGTAATATATGTATAAGCCTATAAATGTGTGGGTGTATATAACATTTATCGTATAATAGTATCGTATATTATATATATACTCTATAATTGTTTGTATGTATATGAATAAAATTATTATTATATTTAGATTTTAGATTTGTTGTTGTTGTAATTGCGATTGCTATAGCGAGCGTATTGAAAGGTTTTTGTTTATTTTTTGTTGGCTCTTCTTCTTCCTCACACGGACTCCAGATGCTCGGAGATCTCCAGTATGGGACTCTCGCTGAGCGGCTTCACCAGTGTCTGCCAGCTGGGCGTGAAGAGGCTGAGCACCGGAGGCGCCGATGCGCTCGACTGCGCCCGCACATGGTAGTCGGACTCGTGGCCATGGACCACGTGGCTGTTGAGCAGCGCCTGGGGCGGTGTTGCCGGCGGTGTTGTGGACGGCGGTGGCGCCGAGCTGGACGCCACAGGCCCGGCGGCGGGCAGGGCCTCCGGCTGGCTGATGTAGGAGGTCTTCAGATTCATTTGGCTAAAGGCGTGCGCGCCCGGCATGGTCAGCGAGTGTTGCAGTCGTGGCGGTCCGCTGCGCGGCCGATCCAGCATGGCCAGCTCGTACAGCTCCTCGGCCAGGTGGTGCTCGGGCGGGCCAGCGGGCGCTGGCGGCGGCGGCGGCGGCGGTGTCCCATGCACCAGGCTGTGGTTGTAGTGGACATGGCCATGGTTGTGATGGTGATGCTGATGATGATGCTGGTGCTGGTGCTGGTGCTGATGGCGTCCGGCCAGCTGCGCCTCCAGGGCGTATTGCTTCTGGAAGAGCTGGCGCTTCTGCTGGAGCAGGCGGTGCTGCAGGAGCTGCTGTTGCAGCGGCGGCTTCTGCATCGGCGACATGGCCAGCTGCTGCTGGTGGTGCGCATGCGGATGTGGGTAGACGCTCGGCGGCGGTGGCGGCGGCGGCTGATAGCAGCCATGGCCATGGCCCGCAAACAGCTCGCTGCTGGCGTCCAAGAGCAGCGACGGCGGCGGCGGCAGTGGCGCATAGGCCAGCTGCTGGTGGTGCTGCGGCTGCAGGTGGTGCAGCGTGTGGTGCGGCTTGATGGGCATCGCATAGAATTGACCGTGTGGCAATTGACAATTGGCCAGGCTCAGCTCCTCAAGGCCCAGATGGCCATGACCATGACCATGACCATGGCCATGGCCTTGGCCAAGGGCATGGCCATGCAGATGGGCGTGGCTGGGCGCATAGACAGCCGCCTCCTGCTGCAGCTGCTGTATCTCCAGCCAGCCGTGGCGCTTGGCCTGCTCGTAGCGATAGCTGCCATAGACACGACTCGCGCCCAGCAGGGAGCTGGAGCTGAGGAGGCCCTGGGCCACCAGGCCGTCGCTGGCGCGGCGGCCCTCACGGAAATGGATGGGCGAACGCTTGTCCGCAAAGGGCGGCGGCGCCGGCTGCGGCGGTGGCGGTGGCGTCGCCGTCGGTGTCGACGTCGGCGTTGCCGTCGGCGTCGGCGTCGCCGTCACCAGCAAATTGACCGCGCTGGGCATATGGATGCACGAGTTGTGGCTGCTGTACAGCGAACGCTCCGACGAGTGCTCGCTGGAGACGGCGGCCGCAGCGGCGGCGGCAGCGGCCAGCATTGAGTTGCTCATGCAGGAGGGCAGACTGCCGGCAATGTCCGGCACGGAGGGCAGCACAAAGTCCAGACTCTCGTAGGCGCTGCAGTTGCTCTTGGAGGAGCCGCGGCTCAGATTCTGGCTGAGGCTCTTCGAGTAGCTGCCGGCTAGGACGCCGCTGGAGCTGCTGCTGCTGGCATAGGAGCGCGTGCGCGTGTTCGCCTGGACGCTGGTCAGATCCGTCGAGGACTGGGAGCCCTCCTTGGCGGCGACCACCTCGTTGCCCTGATCCGTGTCGCAGCCCTCGTCCGTGCTGGAGCTGCCCTGTGCCAGCACCTTCTTCTCAAAAGTCTTTTTCTCCCGGCTACAACGACAACGACAACGACGCCCGATTAGACTCGACTCCGGCGCACTCGCGAATCGTTGGCCGCTAATTCTCACTCACCCGTCTCCAATGGGCTTCGGCTCGACTCCCTCGCCCTCCTCCGCAGCTCGGCCAGACTCGCTGCCGTTGCTATTCCCAGTCCCAGTCCCACTCCCAGTCCCATTCCCATTGCCATTTGCCGTTGCAGCCTTACGCTTGGGTTTCTGTTGGAGGAGAGAGAGCAAGAGATTGTTACAATGGAGGATTTCGAGTGGACAGCCGGACAGGCGGACGCACCTCAATTGGCAGTGGACTCTCCTGGAGGGTCTGGAATAGTCGGTTCGCCTCSGCGGACATTTTGTAGCGAAAGCTTTGATTGAGATTGGCGGTGGAATCGAAGCTATTCGAACTGGACATCACTTTTATTGTCTTGCTATGTTCGGCAGTGGGCGTGGCAGCGCTCGAATGCTCCATGGCAGATGCTGGCAGCGACAGCAGCTGCTCCTCGTCCTCCTTCTTCGCTTCGGCAATGGCCGTGGACTGCAAGAGATTAGAGATGTTAGTGGATCCCTTGATGCATTCAGCTTGGCTAGCGTTTGGCTGCTGGACGCACCTGCTGCAGGAGCAGACGACAGTCTTCGGTGCTCTGCTTGATGATGTACTCGCTAATGGTCTGGTGGAGTTGCTTGGGCACCGGCGCGGTGGCCGTCGCCGTCGCCGTCGCTAGCGCCGCTGCCGCTGCCGGCGATGGCAGGTGGCCAAGCGGATGGCCCTGCTCCAGCTGCTGGCTGGCATTGAGCAGCAGCTCGCGACACCGGAGGTTGGCCAGCGAGGGCAGCGGATGCCCACTGCTGGTATTGTCGATGCTCAGCGAGATGCCAACCGGGCGCTGGCTGCCGGCCATGCTCCTGGCCGAGCTGAGGCTCTGATGGCTGATGCGAGCGCTGCCCGGCGCCGGCAACGGGGTATATCTAGTGGGCATGACCATGCCCGCGCCCACGCCCACGCCCACACCCTCATCCCCGTTCAGGTAACGGGCGTGAGTGTGAGCGTGAGCGTGGGCCTGGGCGTGGCCATGGACGTGGGCAAGGATGTGGGCCTGCTGCTTGACCGCATAGTAGGGATCGGCAGTGGTTCGCTCGCTCATCATGACAGTCTGATGGCGGCTAAGTCTTTTGTGTGTCGGATCCTTGGCCAGGATCACGGTGGATATTGTCTTTCTTTGCTGCTGCTGCTGCTGATGCTGCTGCTGCTGCTGTTGCTGGTGCAGTTGCAGCAACTGTTGCTGCTGCTGTTGCTGCTGGGGCGTGGACAACTGATCGAGCATCAGGGACTGCTTGCTCTTGTAGAGCAGACGGCTGCTCGCGTCGCTGGGCTTCGCCTGCTCCTTCTTGTGGGAGACGCGATCCTGCAGCAGCAGATAGATGGCCGCCACATGGTCGTAGGTGTTCTTCTTGAGGCTGGCCCGCGTCTTGTCCGGTGCGATGCCCACATACTCGGACATGATCCTCAATATATCCTCGCTCGGCTCCAGCACCGCCTGCCGCTCCATGCTCAGATTGTATTTGGCAATCAGCGCGTGCTCCAGCAGCTCGGGACACATCCAGCGATGTCGCTTGATCTGCTCAATGGTGTAGCGACGCGTCGGCTCCAGCACCAGCATGCGGCGTATTAGATGCTCGCACTCCGAGCTCATGAAGAAGGGTATGCGAAAGCGGCCCGACAGCACCCGATCCCGCAGGCTCTGCAGCGTGGACCCATCGAAGGGCAGGGCGCCGCACACCAGGACATAGAGCACTACGCCCAGGGACTGCAACCAGAGCAGATGGAGGATGTATATTAGCCAAGGCGTCTGGAACGTCATCGGCTGGCATGCTTACCCAAATATCAATTTCGGGTCCAGTATATTGCTTGCCCTCGAATACCTCTGGCGCGGCATAGGGCGGTGAGCCGCACCAGGTGGCGAGCAACTCGCCGGGCTTGAAGTGATTGGAGAAGCCAAAGTCAGCGATTTTAATGTTCATGCTGCAGTCGAGCAGCAGATTCTCGGCCTTGAGATCCCGATGGACGATGCCCTTCTTATGGCAGTACTCCACGGCGGAGATGATTTGCCAGAACTTGAAGCGGGCCGCCGACTCCGACATGCGTCCGTACTTGGCTATATAATCTGCAAGGAAGAGCAAGAGTTGCAGTGGCCTGAGACATCTGGATTGGCTGGCTGACTGGGTGGCTTACCAAAGATCTCGCCCTGGCTGGCGTACTCGGAGACAATGTAAATCATGTTTTTGGTTTCCATCACCTGCAATGCTCCAGAGGATTAGCCTGTGGCTGCAGCTGAGCCCGAGAGATCGGCGCACTCACCTGATACAATTTGATGATATGCGGATGCTTGAGCTTCTTCATGATTTCCACCTCGCGATAGACCTTCTGCAGGTTGGTGTGATCCAGCTGCGACTTGTCAATGATCTTGATGGCCACCTCGTTCTTGGTGATGCGATGCCGCGCCAGCTTCACCACCGCAAAGTTGCCCTTGCCAATGGTGCGCTCAATGTCGTAGAAGCCGACGCGCATTGGCTCCTTCAGCTTGAGCAGCTCCTTGGGACCGCTGCCGCCGCTGGCAAAGAGCTTCTGGGCGAGGAGCACATCCTTGCAGCTGGCCAGCGCATCCATGGAGGCAGGTGTTGCCAACGCGTCCACATCTGCGTCGGCATGCAGCTTCGATTCACCTGCATCCTGTTCGGGGCCATTTTTCTGGGTGCCCGACTTTGACAGCTTCTGCTTCTGCTTCTGGTTCTGATTCTGATTCTGCTCCAGCTTCCGCTCCAGCTCCGGCTCCTGCTCGTGCTCGTTCTCGTGGCCATTGGCCTTGGGCGGATCAGGCTCCTCCGCTGGCTCTTCCTTGTTGGGCACAGGCAGCACTGGGGCAGTCGTTGCTGCCTTGGCTGCTGCTGCTACAGACTCCTTCGTATCCTTGGCCATCTCGCATGCGCTCATCATCCGGCTGCGTCCGTCGGGCAGGACGGCTCTGGGCTAGGCAAGCACTGAAACGTTGCAGCTGCAGCTGCTGCTGCACATGCTCCCGGCGCATGCAACTGGCTCTGGCTCTCGACTCTTGACTCTCGACTAACGGCACTGGCACTGGCTTTGGCACTGGCGCCCCGCCCCTACAGACGCCTCAACGCGCGCTCCTCCATTGCAGCGCACGCTGCCGATTGACAACAACAAATGGAAGAAGCAAATTATAATTGAAACGAAAACAAGTTCACACAAATTTCTATACTCTGATAAGAGATTAGCTCACACGCACACACTGGCACAGGTCATCTATGCCTGCCTCTGTGTGTGTGAATGAGTGAGCGAATATGCCTCTGTGTGTGTGTGTGTGTGTGCGCGTGTGTTTTCGTTTGCAGCATAGAAAAATCAATAAGCCACTCGCCGCGCGTCTCACGACGAATCTCTCTCGCCTTGGTCAAACGCCGCCTTCTCACGTGTAGCTCCTACAGATACACATAGATTACGTGCACACACACAGAGACACAGGCAAGCAGCCACACACATGCACGCATGCACACACACACACACACACAGAGAGGGAGAGAGAGAGAGAGAGCACACACACACTCACACATATGCAATGAGTACACAAATTACCGTTAGTTTCTAACGAGCTTTATCAATTGTTTTTCTTCTGCCTTTTTTCGGTCAGTTTTTATCCTTTAAGCAGCAATTGCGTTATTTGGCTGTTTGCGCTTCCTCTTCTTGGGCATTCGCCTTTTTGCAATTTGTCCTCCCTCGCAGCACCCTTCCGGCAAACACTCAAGCCAAGACGGAGACAACCAACGCGACCAGCGACCAGCGACACAACAAGGCAACGCGACTCTGCCGTCGATCTGACCCCAGAAAGTGCAGAGCGGCCGCAGCGCAGCCAAAAAGCCAAAAGGGGGCAAAAACCACACACACACGTACACACACACACACGTGCGCGTTTTTAAGGGTTGCCAAAGTTTTGCAATGCGGCTGCTACTGCGATTGGCAACCCAGTGGGGAGCACTGAAGGCGCCTGCGCCTGATTCGACCCCAAACTAAAAGTGCCCAAGTATGTGTGTGTGTGTGTGGCCATGTGTGTGTGTGTGTGGGAGTATATTTGAATCATGGCGCCTATATATCGATTATTATGAATAATTCATATATCCAATTAATAGCAGCCATATAGATCAAAGTAAATAGCCCCAATATAAATCGGTATATAGTATATATATATTGATTTCTATTAATTTATGACTATATTTCGCATGCACATCATATGTTCTTCATATCATATCTACTAATCCCAATATTATACAATTTGCATCAGTTTGTAATGAATAAAATATATTTTAATATACATATGCGTTCAACAGATTATTAAATATGGGGCAAACGGAATATTAAATAATACAACAAATATTAGTCAGCAATATATATATATATATATGTGTGTGTATTTAAACATATA